TAAGAAGTGATAACCAAAAGTGCACTCTTTTACCTGCAAGCTAAAATCACCACAAAAATTGGAGCATTTTGAATTAGTGGCAACTTATTTTATGGGGGCTAACACTTTGAAATGTACTAAACTTCAAACTTTAGTAATTTTTAAAATTCCCCTATTCATTTTCCTTTTTTCCATATGTCCATATACTATACACAACATTAACCATACCTTCAAAATGAATTCAGGAAAGTACAATTTCTGAAAAGTAAAATGTATTAAAAAACATGCTATACAAGTGCAAAAGAAGAACAACCTAAGTGTTGTCCATCAGAGAAAAGGAAGGAAAGAACAATGAGAAGAATTCAGTGGGAAGTGTAGAGCATAGTCCCTACTTCCCATAGAATCCTTGTCGTAAGATACCAAAAGAACAAAATACAAACAGAATACAAGGAGAAGATTATAACAAGCAGCTATGCGGTAAGTCCAATAATTGCAACATTCTAAGATTCAGAGGGGAACTCTTGAACTTAGTAGACAAGTGAGCTCTATACTTGGTGTACAATCTTTGCCTAATATCAAGCCACCAAAAAAAGATCATTCTGGGAATGAATTGCTTGTACTAGACAAGCTTGTTGGTCCAGTTTCCCTAATGTATTGCCAAGTAGGAGTGGTAGAGAATCTACCATTTGCATTGAGGGACCATAAGACCTTATCATTGGAGAGCTGATTAGGAGCGTAAGCAGGTATAGAAGCAACAATTCCTATAAGAGCAGGAGAAGAAACATTATGCCAACTCCATTGATTCTCAAAGATAATGCAGCTAACTCTAGAATTCATGTTGAGGCCAGAGGCAAGGATAGGAATATGTCCCCATCTAGAGAGCAGAGGACCATTGGGATGCCAGTTGTCAAGCCATAAGAAGGTGTCATTTCCCTTACCAACTTTGTGCATCAAAAGGGGCCTTATTACCTTCCTTAGTTTCAAGATATTCTGCCAAGCCCAGGAGCTAGCTAGAGTAGCCCTGATTTCCCAAAGACTTCTTCCTTTTAAGTGGTAAGCATGGATCCAAAGTGACCTAAAAGGCCTCTTTATCAGTGAAGAGCCTCCATATGTGTTTCATGAGCAAAGCATAATTCCACTCCTTGAGCCTTTTAATACCCAATCCTCCTTCATCTTTGGGTTTGCAAACCTCAACACATGCGACTTTAATCCCAGTGTTCTTTAATTCCACACCCTTCTATAAGAAAGCCCTCATGAATTGTTCAATTTTTCAACCACAGAATGTGGAAGAGCAAGGTGAGTGGACTAGAAAACTTGTATGCTGCTAATGATAGAGGNTGTTTGCAAACCTCAACACATGTAACTTTAGTCCCACTGTTCTTTAATTCCACACCCTTCTATAAGAAAGCCCTCATGAATTGTTCAATTTTTCAACCACAAAATGTGGAAGAGCAAGGTGAGTGGACTAGAAAACTTGTATGCTGCTAATGATAGAGGTTACAAGTTGTAGCCTACCTGCATAAGACAAAAATCTGTTTATCCTAGATCTAATCCTTATTTGGATTCTCTCCACAAGACATTCACAGTGCTGATTTGTTAACCTAGAAGTGATGAGAGGAATGCCCAAGTATTTGACGGGGAGATCTCCTTCAGTCAGTCCCATAAGTTGAATAATTTGGGACTTAGTTTCAAGTTGGACTGCACACTGATAGATNTAGATCTAATCCTTATTTGGATTCTCTCCACAAGACATTCACAGTGCTGATTTGTCAGCCTAGAAGTGATGAGAGGAATGCCCAAGTATTTGACGGGGAGATCTCCTTCAGTCAATCCCATAAGTTGAATAATTTGGGACTTAGTTTCAAGTTGGACTGCACACTGATAGATATTGCATTTTCCAAGATTGATTTGTATTCTAGAAGTAGATTGAAATTGCTACAGAGAGTGATTAAGCACCATAACAGAACTTAGGTCACTGTGACCAAACATCAGGAGGTCGTCGGCAAAGGAGAGATGGTTGAGTTTGACCTTTTTGCACCTCCAATGGAACTTGAAGGTTGGAGAGAGATATTTCTTTGGACAATAAGTGTTAGCACTTCCATTGCAATAATAAACAGGAAGGGGGACATGGCCTAACTTCCCTCTTGCTTGGAAAGTAGCCAACAAGCTCTCTAGTGATATTAACAGAGAACTTAGGAGAGGAAATACAAAATTGGATCCATTTTCTCATTTTACTAGGAAAGTTAAAGGCTTCTAATGTCTCCATCGTGAAGCTCCAATCTAGAGTGTCAAAAGCTTTCATAACATCAATCTTAATGGCACATCTAGGGGAGCCTCTGTCATTATGGCAGTTTCTTAATAGTTCTTGTGCAAGAAGAATGTTGTCTCCAATATTTCTTCCATGAATAAATGCAGCTTGGTTAGAATTGATGATCTCAGGAAGAGTTCTTTTAATTCTAGAAGCAATGATTTTAGAGATGACCTTATAAATAGTGTTGCAGCAAGAGATAGGCCTTAACTCATTCATAGTGTGTGGATTAGGAACCTTAGGAACAAGAGCCAAGATGGTAGAATTAAACTCCTTTAGAAGCTTACCTGTAGCAAAAATTCCTTGATGGCAGCATAGACAAGATCCCTTATAACTAGTTAGAATTTTTTTAAAGAAATACGCATTGTATCCATCAGGTCCTGGAGCTTTCTGGTCTATTAAGGAGAAGAGAGATTTCTTGATTTCTTCATTGGAAACCTCCTGACACATTTCAATAGTCTATTCATCAGAAAGTCTTTTTTGCATCACTTCAGAAAAAATTTATTTGCTTTCATTGTTTGAATAAGTTGGGCTAGTTGAGCCCAAAAGGTTTTGCTAGAAATCAATAGCTTCATTCTTAACCTCCAGCTCACCATCAATAGTAGAGCCATCACTTCTCCTCAAAAATAGGATATTCTTTTTGTTTCTCCTGTTAACCATGGATTTAAAGAAAAAATAAGTATTCTTATCCCCTTCTTTTAATCATTTTATCCTTGATTTTTGTTTTAGTACAATCTCTTCATTCCTAGTAGCAGTTAGGTACATGGAGAAGAGCTGTCTCTCTTGCAATCTCAAGTTGGAGTCAGTGTGATTGTTATCCAGTTTGGTTTGACACGTTTCAAGAGCCATTTTAGCCTCAATAACCTTTGCAGATGTCTCCCCCATTTCTGTGCCTTTTCCTTTGAGTAATGCCTTTAATCTTTTGAGCTTGCAGCATAATTGAAATTGGAGTGATAGACACCCTAAGCTTGATTAACCAACTCAAGGAAGTCTCCTCTATCAGCCAGATGATTAAAAAACTTGAAAGGAGTCTTTCTCCTCTTGATTTCTTCTCCAATTTTAACTACAACTGGGTTGTGGTAANAGTCTATTCATCAGAAAGTCTTTTTTGCATCACTTCAGAAAAATTTTATTTGCTTTCATTGTTTGAATAAGTTGGGCTAGTTGAGCCCAAAAGGTTTTGCTAAAAATCAATAGCTTCATTCTTAACCTCCAGCTCACCATCAATAGTAGAGCCATCACTTCTCCTCAAAAATAGGATATTCTTTTTGTTTCTCCTGTTAACCATGGATTTAAAGAAAAAAGAAGTATTCTTATCCCCTTCTTTTAATCATTTTATCCTTGATTTTTGTTTTAGTACAATCTCTTCATTCCTAGTAGCAGTTAGGTACATGGAGAAGAGCTGTCTCTCTTGCAATCTCAAGTTGGAGTCAGTGTGATTGTTATCCAGTTTGGTTTGACACGTTTCAAGAGCCATTTTAGCCTCAATAACCTTTGCAGATGTCTCCCCCATTTCTGTGCCTTTTCCTTTGAGTAATGCCTTTAATCTTTTGAGCTTGCAGCATAATTGAAATTGGAGTGATAGACACCCTAAGCTTGATTAACCAACTCAAGGAAGTCTCCTCTATCAGCCAGATGATTAAAAAACTTGAAAGGAGTCTTTCTCCTCTTGATTTCTTCTCCAATTTTAACTACAACTGGGTTGTGGTAAAAGACACCTGGTGCTAAGAATTCAACATTTGACTATTGGATCTTGCTATGCCAAGCCTCATTAATCAGAGCTCTATCTAGTCCATCTCCCTGAACAACCTTTTGTTTCCTGAAGACTTCTGACAGTATTAAAATCTCCAAGGATCAACCATGGTTCAGAAAACAAAAATGCCTACATGATATCTAAGATTCCTCCATAGGTCCCTTCTATCATTCTCCTCATTAGATGCATAAACAATAGAAATGAAAAAAAAATTAGATTGTTGCCAACATGCTAAACATAAAAATTTATAATCTACTATGTCTTAGATATTTTACTAACATTCAAGTTATTGGGATTGCACCCCACCCTAATCCTACCCAATGTGTGGCAGTTATTGATATCCACATAGCTCCATTTCCTGAACACTTGCCTCATAATGAAGTTTTTATTAATGGGTCTTACCCTTGTTTCCAAACTGCCAAAACAATCCAATTGATTAACTCCAATAAACTGCCTCATTTCTTCTTGTCTAGAGGCTTTATTTAGCCCTCTAATATTCCAGCATGCAACTTTTATCATTNTATTAGATTGTTGCCAACATGCTGAACATAAAAATTTATAATCTACTATGTCTTAGATATTTTACTAACATTCAAGTTATTGGGATTGCACCCCACCCAAATCCTACCCAATGTGTGGCAGTTATTGATATCCACATAGCTCCATTTCCTGAACACTTGCCTCATAATGAAGTTTTTATTAATGGGTCTTACCCTTGTTTCCAAACTGCCAAAACAATCCAATTGATTAACTCCAATAAACTGCCTCATTTCTTCTTGTCTAGAGGCTTTATTTAGCCCTCTAATATTCCAGCATGCAACTTTTATCATTGTAATAGTGCTTGGTTGAGCTTAAGGGGCACAATTCCCTTATGTTTGCTTTGCTCACAATTCCCTTTTTTTCCACAGATAAAAGACTGATGGGGAGAAATTTCAACAATTAACTGTCCTTATTCCATTTCTAAACCAAAAAATTTGTGGAAGATGGAAGCAAGACATTACAATCAGCAAGTGGAGAAGCGATTGTGTTTATAGAGGTTACTAGGTTGTCTACAAGTTGTGTGGTATTCAGAATCTCATTAGCTAGATTTGCATAAATGGGGAGAGCCTTTGGAGCAGAGCATTCAGCTATCTGAGTGGTGGTTAGGACCTTGGTTTGTACTCTCTCCACATTTGGCACATCAATAACTATGGTTTCAATTACTGCTTTCCCTTTGTCTTGGTTGACCTTCTGTTGCAGTGCCTCTTTAGGCTTCCAACCGTTGTTAATGCTCATTCTGGGGCAATTAGTTTCACTATGTCCAAAAATATTACAAGCAAAGCAGACCTTGGGCCTCCATTGGTACTCCACTTTTATTTCAATCATACCTGATTTACCCTCTTTATCCAATTACAGATCAAAGGACTCCACCAATTTAGTATAATCCTTTACTTCAACACATACTCTAGCAAAGGAAATCCACTTTTTATTAGCTATCAGAGAATCAGCATGCAGTGGCTTTTCAACTGCACTGTCAATGTAGCTTAATCCTTCTTCACTCCAGTATTGTAGAGGAACATTATGTAGCTTAATCCACATGGGAATCACAAGCTTGTCCTCTTTAGAAAGGATAAGGTTAGGCTGTCATTTCCTAAGGATAACTGGCCTCCTTGAGAAGAGACATCGGCCATCTTCAAATACTTTGGTTCTAGAAGCATCACACATGAATTTGAAAAAATAGAACCCTTTCTCATTACCTAGGACCTCAAGAAGCCCCAACCTGTCCTAGATCTTGTGGGCAATGTGGTTAACAACAGAGAATGTGAGCTTTTTTTCCACAAANTAGCTATGACCTCAAGAAGCCCCAACCTGTCCTAGATCTTGTGGGCAATGTGGTTAACAACAGAGAATGTGAGCTTTTTTTCCACAAAATACCCAACCAAGCATGTTTCCCTTCAAGGCTTCCTCTATTTACAACTTTAGTTAGTGGTTTAACTATAATATGTTCCTTGTCCTTTGTGGGTTCAAAGTATTGTAGCTTCATCTTAGGGTAGAGACCACNCAGTTAGTGGTTTAACCATAATACGTTCCTTGTCCTTTGTGGGTTCAAAGTATTGTAGCTTCATCTTAGGGTAGAGACCACCATCTTGTGACTGCTATGTTCCACCCTTGCCATGTTTAACAACTAGGCTCCATATACCTGCTTCGACATTACCCATTTTCTACTTCTGGGTAGTTACCACAACAATATTTACCCCAAATGGAGAATGAGAGATATTTAAGGACTCTTTCAACTGAGAATTGACAGTTAGAGTATTAACATCGTAGTTAAGTAAGTACAATTTCATCCATTAATATAATTGAAGTATATGTGTAAGACACATGATCATGAAAAATAAAATAGAAGTAAAGTTGCGATGGNTGACATTACCCATTTTCTACTTCTGGGTAGTTACCACAACAATATTTACCCCAAATGCAGAATGAGAGATATTTAAGGACTCTTTCAACTGAGAATTGACAGTTAGAGTATTAACATCGTAGTTAAGTAAGTACAATTTCATCCATTAATATAATTGAAGTATATGTGTAAGACACATGATCATGAAAAATAAAATAGANACATCGTAGTTAAGTAAGTACAATTTCATCCATTAATATAATTGAAGTATATGTGTAAGACACATGATCATGAAAAATAAAATAGAAGTAAAGTTGCGATGGGCCATGCATCCACGAGTGCAAAACATCTCCATGATCAGTGGACCAAGCACTTAAGCTTGTATAGAATTATAAGCTAACTAGCTAAGGATACTCTTCAAAACATAATGTATCCATGTCAAACAAGTGTCAAACACAAATACTTCTTGGACATGTCCCTGATATTTGTTTAACTATGTCTATACTTAAATGATAAAATCTTAATTTTGAACATGATTCCAACAATTCAGTGGTGATGTGTGGAACACTTTTCTAAGTTGTATCTACAACTAAAAATCAAGCATATGTCTACAGGTAACTAACAAAGTATAAAACTAGACAGTTAACACTATGGAAGAATCTATAATAGCCAAGGCTAGTCATATTAAAGTTTTCNGGTAACTAACAAAGTATAAAACTAGACAGTTAACACTATGGAAGAATCTATAATAGCCAAGGCTAGTCATATTAAAGTTTTCATAAACTTTCTAATTAAAATGAAAGATGTGTTAAAGTTTTGCTAAAAAGGAATGAAAAAGTGAGAATGATCAGAATCTCTATACATAATCAAAAGCTAAATAAATAGAGAATATGTTTGTTAGTCTAAAAATTAAGATTTACTTAACACAAGGATTGATTCACTCATCTACACTATATCATAATATAAATCTGACTTCTCTTGAAAGATGTTGGGATTCCTTCCTACAATTTATAAATTTTCTATTTATTTAAATTGTCAAAACATGTGTTTGCTCAAATCATGACTCACACCAATAAACATCAAAACTACTACCACTATTTCATGTTCTCATGTAACTTCATCTAAAACCACTATTCATCTCCTGGCAATTATTTATATGCATACAACTTCTCACATTATCAATCTTCCCACCCTATCTATAATTTCCCATCATCTATATTTTCATCCAACTTCATATATTATCTATCCTCTTTTAACTTTACTAAATTCCCTAAAATATCATAATTTGGGAAGATGGTAAACGAGATCAATATATCAATTCTGTGCATTGCACCAACCAGGGGAGGGGGCAGNTTTAAACCCAATTGATTAACTCCTCTATTTCTAGTGGGAATGAGGGAATGTAGTCAAATATCTCTCCCCATAGGCAATACGAGGTAGTGATCAAATGAACCGATCAATCTATTTTGTTATACCTTTACTCTAACTTTGTTAACTATCTCTTAAGTGAGTGGAGTGACCCATCTAAATGGGGCACGCACTCTAACAAGGAAAGAATTGGTTATGTCTTGTCATATTGATAACATATTAGTTGCTGGCGGAGAAAGCTCTTCGAGCTTCCCTTTATTCGCTTTGCGGGAACTGCACAACACATAATTGGAAGTCAGAGGGCCCATATTACCTGCCTAACCCTTTGCTTAGAGGGTCCATAGATCGGAAAGTGCCTTCTAAACCACCCATTCATCCAAAAGGGAAGGGTGGGGGGCTAAGTATTTGCATAACCCCTATAGATTGAACCCTATCTACAACCGGAGTCAATCCCCTAACAGTCCTACCACCACGCCGTAGAACGGGAGCTAGTGTGCAACCTTTTCTTTCTAGCATAAGAACGGTAGAATGTAACAAAATATTACAGTCGCCTAACATAGGGGCCGAAAGTACAGTAAACTCGCGACACCCACGCATAATCTTATCCCTTCGGTTGGATTAATAAAGGAATCCTCTTTTATTAGTTCCTTGTACTGTGTGTTTGTCCATTAATCTCATCCAAGGAAGTCTTAAAACAAGGCATTTGAACCCCTCACAAACAATCGCTTGGAAACTATATGTCGATTACGATTTTTTCATTGATCTCCATAGATTTAGGAGCAAATTTTCATGGCCTCAATTTTCCTAGTCAAGGTAGCTATTCTAGTTCCTATGTCATCCTTCTATCTCAAATGGTATTTTCCACCACCTAATGAAGCACTCGAAATTTAATTCTTAGAGGTTTTAGGGGACAAAGTATCCTAAGATTGCGCACTTTCAACAAGATGATCAAAATAATCAAATGCTTTGGACATGAATTCTCTATTACACATCATTTCAATAAATTGATGTATTTGAGGTGATAAAATCTCATAGAAAAAATTGATAATGTGTCAGCTTTCATAGTGATGCAAGGTCTTTAAAACATTTTGAATACTTATAGAAAGTCTCATTCTTTTTTTATGAAAAATTCATAATTTTTCTTTTCAAAGAGTTTGTGCAGTGTATGGAAAAAAACCTTTTTAGAAATTCTTTTTGTATCTCCTGCCAAGTGCTTATAGATCTAAGTCTCAAAGAGTTTAACCAAGTCTTAGTTTTTTCCTTTAGTGAGAAGGGGAAAAACTTCAACCTGATTGTGCTTTCAGTCATAGTCTGATCTTGGAAGGTGGCACATACTTTCTCAAAATCTCTAATGTGGAGATAAGGGTTCTAATATTTTAGGCCATGGAATTTAGGGACTAATGCAGTCATCCCTGGTTTAAAACTAAAATTAGTAGCCTGCAAAGGAAAGATGATGCATGATGTTGTAGTGTTTCATGTAGATTATAGATACTCACACAAAGTCCTACCATGTTTGACATGTTCATTATTAATTTCAATATCCTCGTGATTACTTCTCTCATCGTCAACCATGTTTGTGTGTGTGAGATTGTACAGAGAATATCAAATAAATACAAAACAATAATTCTAACTCCTCCAAAATTAAACATCCACTTGGCTCATGAAGCCAGGAGCTCATAAAAGAAATAAAATAGAATAGGTAGAAGTAGGGAACAAAAAATTAAATAACAGTAAAATAAATAGCAACAAAAATAAAAGTGGAACGAAGTTACTAGATCTGTGAAAAATCTCAAATCAAGCAAACCTCAAGGTATGGCAGTGCACTCCATGTCTTCAAACAAAATTCTTGACAACGATGTCAAAAACTTACTACACATCAAATAGTGTATCATTCAAGCGTGGATTGTGCGAAATAATAAATTTTCTCAGAAGTCCGAGGTCATACTTCAGGGCATTGTGTAAACTTAGAACACAAAAAAAAAAATTAAAAATTACTTTGAAAGTTGTTTGAAAAATTTGAAATTAGAAAATAGTAAATTTTTATTTTAAAACAGGAATTGAGAATACTAAAGCGTCTGGGATACCCATTCAATTCCGCACCATAATTATTAATGGTCCAATTTTTAAACTCAATTGAGAATTAGCTGGGGAGTGATTCTAATCAGAATATTTAGCGGTGATACTATTGAAAACACCAAAAAGTATAATTGATATATTATCTGGATAAATCTAAGTATCTAATTGCAAAGGACAAGCATTCAGCATTCCCAAAGTCTATGATGAATCAAGTTTTTCAAAAAATAAACCCTAGTTTTATCATAAATAAGAAATCAACTATTATATGAAAATCCTAATTAATTAATCCAAGTATGCAAATCCAGTTATTTGACTCGCAGAAAATCCCAAGTAGTCGATGGACGTAGTACACCGAATGAAAAATTATACAGAGCAAAAACTTTACTAGAAGACATAAATTAAATTACAAAAAATAATATATTGAAAAACATCATATTAAAAATAATATCGT